GTCCCCGCGCTCCTCTTGCGGCTCCCAGCCATAGCTGTTGGTACTCCCAGAGCAGGTGATCTGGACGGTTTCTCCCGGGTTCGCCGACACCGAGGGCGGCTGAGTCAGCGCTGCCTGGACCAGGGAACCTGCAGAGGGAGAGAAGAAAGGGGAGAAGATGTGGGTCAGCCAGGGCCCCACGGGCACAGCCCTGCCCGGGCAGCAGGACGGGGACCCGAGCCCTGTGCCCAAAGGCCCGGCCGGGCACAGCAAGTCTGGCCCGGGCACCTGAGCTGTGGGCGAGCACCACGAGGAGGAGAGGGGCCCAGGCCATGGTGCAATCCCACCAGTTCCATGTCCCCGTGCCAATGGGGCTTTGTTGCAGACCCTGATCCCCTTCACATCCCTGCAGGAGGTACCCAGTAGGGGACTATGGGCACAGGGGTCCAATTCTCCATCCTGCCCACCCAGGGCTGTGCTCTTGGACACTGGCTGACCCCTGTTCTCTTGCTGTTTCCTCTCCATGTTCCCTGTTTCAGGCAGCGCTGAGTCAGCCACCCTTGGTGTCGGCGAACCCGGGACAAATCAGATCACCTGCTCTGGTGTTGACAGCAGCAGTGGTTATGGGGTCAGCTGGTTCCAGCAGAAGGTGTCTGGTCGTGCCCCTGTCACTTTGATCTATGCTAACACCAACAGACCCTCGGACATCCCTTCACGATTCTCCGGATCCAAGTCTGGCTCCACGGCCACGTTAACCATCTCTGGGGTCCAAGCCGAGGACAAGGCTGTCTATTACTGTGGTGGCTGGGACAGCAGCAGCTATGCTGGTGTGGTGACACAGAGAGGTGGGGAAGTGAGGTACAGTGGGATTTAAAACGGAGATTTTTGAGCCCTTCTGCCCAGCTGTGGGTCTGAGACAGGATTCTGTCCCCTCCATGTTGCTATAAATGTTCACTTTATCCTGTCTGAGAACACTGGAGGTGGCTTAATTTTCAGGGACCATAGTCCCTTTGCCTTCAAAATTCATAGGTTTCAACTTTTTTGCTACCCCCATGCATCTTGCTACTGGTGATCATGTCCTTCTGGTGTGGCCAAAGCTGCCTCTGTGCTGGGCTGTGTTGGGCTGGGCTCTGCTCCCCAAACTTGCCCGTGTCCTCAGATCTGTTCTTCTCAGACTGGGATTTCCAGTCCCACTGCCTGGGCAGGGATGTGCCTATGGGGCCCTGGCTGACCCACATCTTCTCCCCTCTCTTCTCTTCTTCTGCAGGTTCCCTGGTCCAGGCAGCGCTGACTCAGCCGCCCTCGGTGTCGGTGAACCTGGGAGGCACCGTCCGGATCACCTGCTCTGGGGGTAGCGGCAGCTATGGCTGGTACCAGCAGAAGGTGCCTGGTCATGCCCCTGTCACTGTGATCTATTACAGCAACCAGAGACCCTCGGACATCCCTTCACGATTCTCCGGATCCCAATCTGGCTCCACGGCCACGTTAACCATCTCTGGGGTCCAAGCCGAGGACGAGGCTTTCTATTACTGTGGTAGCCACGACAGCAGCAGTACTGGTGAGCATCTAGGTTCCCCACAGGATGGCTATGGGTATGGTTCTCTGGGTTGACCATTATTGTTTGCTGCAGCTGCAGCTGTGGCCATAGAGAGGAGAAATGAAGTTGTACCAGCCCCACAGCCTTGCTCAGCCAGAAGGGAGAAGGGCAGAAAAGCTCCATTTTTAGCTTCTCTGTTGCTCACTTCCCCACCTCTCTCTGTCACTGTACCAGCATCAGTGCTGCTGTCCCAGCTACCACAGAAGTAGACAGCCTCGTCCTCGGCTTGGACCCCAGAGATGGTTAACGTGGCTGTGGAGCCAGACTTGGATCCGGAGAATCGTGAAGGGATGTCCGAGGGTCTGTTGTCATTGTAATAGATCACAGTGACAGGGGCACGACCAGGCACCTTCTGCTGGTACCAGCCATATTCATAGCTGCTCCCAGAAAACATAATCCAGATGGTTTGCATCACATTGATGACAATGAAAGCAGCTTAATCAGTACTGCCTGAACCAGGGAACATGGAGAGGAGAGAGGGGAGAAGATGTGGGTCA